TATATATATATACTTATTGGATTTTCTATTATCAAATGATACTCTTCCATTCTAAAACACAATAGAACGAAGAATATATAATACAACGGGCAAAAAGATGAAACGTAAAAGCACTATTATATAATATAATACAATAGTTATATTTCGCTTTTTCGAGAAAGTGTGCGTTACGAGTATCACGAATATGCAACAGAACACTCTTTATCCTGTTTTATCCTGCTAAAATCATCTCTAGAGAATACGAAATTTATTCTTAATTTATACCCCCTTTCCCTCTCTCCCTCTCCCCACACACACACACACACACACATTAATTCAATTCACGACGGTAATATCGTCGGTAATATCAATTTCAAAATCATTCGAATTTTTTCATCGTTTTCGTAATATTTAATTATCGACTAGGATCATTCTCTCGTATTTAACCCTTTCGTTTTTACACGCTCTATTTTTTTGAAAATGTGAATCTTCGTTGTGTACTCTATGTAAGTAAAAGTATTCTAATTTCTTTATTTTTTTTTCTATTTTTTTTTTTAAAATTACAACGAAAGACAAAATAATTGATTATATCGAAATCACCAAAGTGGCAATAAATGCGAATGAAAATAATATTCTCCTGTTTTATAATAAAACGGGTTAAAAACGAGAAACTCTTGACTAGAAATTCCTTCCCATATATATCTTATGGGAGATAAAAAAAAAAAAAGAAGAAACATATTACGACTAGTGGTACTTTGATATTTGTTTCTAAAGGAAACAACAAACAATTTCTCCTTAAAAATAATAATAATAATAATAATAATATATAATAATTATAATACATGACTTATTAATGGTATTATATTAGCTTTGTAAAAAAAAAAAATGAAACAAAGCACGACTAGATAAAGAGTAACTCGTTGAATGAGAGAAGAAGATTCGCTCGTTTTTAAAACTATAAACGTCGTTTGATTTAACATCCTTAACTATCTTTGATATTTAGCTGTATGACGACAGTTAGATACGTTTTTTAAATCGTATCATCTTCTGAACGTTCGATTATTGTTGTTATTGTTATACATTTGAGATATATCTTAAAAAAAAATTAAAAAAATAAAAAAAAAATAAAAAAAAAAAAAAAATAAAAACAATTTCTAATGTATTTATAATATTATTAATGAAGTTATATAATATATGAAATGCGATTGATTATTATTATTATCGTTATTAACCGTAATAGAGACCGAAACGAGCAAGAGAATTTAACGCTCTCAACACGAATCGAGATCTTCACGCTCGATACGTCACCACCCCCTCTGAATCCCCCTACGCCACCACCACCACCCTCATCCTCATCCACCCCATACTCTCTTCCTTCTTCACTTTACCTATGTACACCCTACAACCCGACCTACCCTCACTATCTACACATTTACATCGAACAAAACCCCATTCGAAGATCAATTACCACTTTTACAGAAAATTTACAAACTCAAAACTATAATATTATAACGCGCGCTCATTTTCTTTTTTTCTTTTCTCTTCTTTTCTTTTCTTTTCTTTTCTTTCAAGAAAAAGCACATTTCATTATATTTATATACCATACCGAGAGTTTTTTTTCCCCCTTTTACTCTTTATTAATTCCTTTTTATTTATTTCTTTGGCAATTATTATAGCACGCTTATATATCTAATAAAATAATAATAATAATAATTAATACTTGTGTCGTTTTGTGCCAGTGAAAAATTGAACGAAACCGTCGTTTGAAATCATTTCTCGCGATGGACGCGAATCTTCGAAATAATCGTTTTTCTTTTTTTCACGATCATCTATCTTTGTTCTCTCTCTTTCTTTCTTCCCTTTTTTTCATATTTTCTTTCTTTTTTTTTTTTTTCTTTTTTTTCATTTTTCTATTTATTTTTCTCTTAATTTTCTCTTTTCTTTCGATTTTAAAATACATTTCAGCCTTTACTTTTACTTTCAGATCCCCGTAATAATAAATTGTTTCAATTGAAGAGATCGAATTTTGGAGTATTTTGATTGTTTACTCACGTATTCGAAACTTAATCGTTGAATAACGTTTTGGAAATATAATCATTCAGATTTTAAGGATGTGAATTAATATGAAGTATATAATAAGAAGTAGAAGTACTATTGATTAGTACTGAATTAGAACGAAGTAGTATAAGAAGTAATCTGAAGTAGTACGAGTCTTACAAGTCAAGGCCGTATCTCCAATAAAATCCAGGTCGTCGAGGTAGGGGTCGAGCAGGAAACTGGTGTCAGGGCATCACGTTGCTCGAAAGACTCTGTATACCGAGCTGGCTACTGTCCAACTTGGATGCAGTTTCCGAATCGTCTAGGGTGATGTTTTTGATGGTATTATTGTTGTTATTGTTGTTATTGCTGGTATTGTTGCTGCTATTACTGTTAGTGCTACTATTGCTATTGCTGTTGATGTTGGCGTTAAGAACATTTTCCGGATGTTGATTGGCAATGTGTTTTCTCAATGCAGCCTGCCGACTGAATTTGGCGTCACATCTGGTGCAAGATATCTCGGTTGTCGTGTTGGTACTCGGTGTCGATGAATTAGAACCACCGGTAATCGATTCTCCGTTCGGTAATCTCGGTTTGTGCCAACGACGATGGGAGGCAAGATTAGCCGGACAAGAGAACCTCTTGTCGCACTCCGGACACTTGTATTCAACATGAGCTATTCTGGAACACCTGTGTTGAGCCAATTGAAATGCGTCCTCGTGTAATTGCCTGCAGAGCTTACACTGATACGGGCCAAGCCGATTTTCGATCTTAGCCAGTTCGGCCCGCGCCTCTTCGGTGACTTCGACGATGTTGAAAGCTGGATCAATGTCACCGGTAACCACTGCCTCGTCCGGTCCTAATATTACCGTTCCGGAAACAGGACTGCTCGTATCCTCGTCGAATTTAAGTCTCCTCGCGTGTTTCTTTTTTGGTCTTGGCGTAGGCTTCTCGGACGATACATTTTGTCGGGGAGTAACGTTAACGTTTATCATCGAACTGGATGGCGAAGATACGTCTTCCTCTCTGGTCTTCCTTCTTGGACATTGGGGTGGCGATGGAGTACTCGGTGGGGTCATAGGTGCGTGTATACTTTGAAAATGATGCTGCGGTGTCAATAAAAGTTGCTGATGGTAAGATTGTATCGATTGCAATCGTGTCGGACTGTTCAATAATAGTTTTTGATTTTGCAATTGATGATATTTTTGAATAGCGTCATTGTTCGGATAAGGTGGTGGCAATCGAGTGGTTGTCTCATCAGGAAACCGAGCCTTATCGAATACTTCCTGAACGTGCAAACCATTTTCTTTTGATGATGCCAAATGTCTGTCATAACTGCGTTGACTGTGAGCTGACGAACTACGTTGAGGTTCGATTTCGATTTCTTCGATCAAAAGTGGATCAACGCTTTCGCTCTCCGTTCGATATTTTCGATTTTCCGCTCGTCTTTGGGCCTCCTCGCGAATCCTCCTGTCTTCCTCGTCATCTACCTCGATAGCAGCATCCTCGGTGGTTGTCCTAGGCGTGTTGGGTGTAACCGGTGCTTTCAGGGACAAATCCAATGGGCAAGGTGTCGAAGGTCTCGATGATTCCCAACCGCGTAATACGGTCTGATGTTGCTCAGATATTCTACCGTACGTATTAGCTGCGTTGTCCGTTGGTATGTGCCAGCTCGTTTGCGGTGCCGCATAAGGATGATGAACTTCCTCTCCGTAATAACCGAAATAGTTTAACCCGGGAGCGAGAAACGCCCGGGGCAAAGTACTGTGTAACATCTTTCCCCCTTTTCTTTCTTTTTTTTTCTTTCTTTCACGAGATCTTTATCTTTCTATCTCTCTCTTCCTCTCTCTCTCTCTCTCTCCCTTTTTTCTCTCCCTCTCTTTCGAGGATTAATTTCCTCGTGCTTGATTTGTCCTTGATTGAATTTTCACGAGGTACTCTTCCTAAGTGATTCGAACAGCTTCCTCTTCTCCATGATTTATATAAAAAATCTCTAATATCAATAAGAAAAATGAAAATGATAAAAACTAACTAAATCTGGTGGTATCTCGCCAACCTGTCGATGATATGTTTTCGTTTAAAATCCAGCCTATTTTAAAAAGCTGCAACGACACGACCCTCCACCTCGGCGTTCGGACGCCGTTTGACAGAAGGACGCTCGTGCCACGTCTCGTATATCCCTATGCTCCGCCCGGGAGCTAACTGCTATCTCGATTCCTATTGGTCGGCCACCTTATCCTCCCCTCTTTTGTGTTCGGGCGCGTGCTCATTTAAACGCCCGACGCCCCTCGCCAAACGACCAGACGCGGGCAGACGCGGGTAGACGCTGCTTGCCTGCCTGCCTGCCTTCCTTCCTGCATGTTCTGTCTACTTACTTGTACTTCTTTCTTTACCAGCTGTACGAGCAACCCAACTCTCGTAATTTTCTTCTTCTAATATTCTATCAAAATGTATTTGATTAAATCCAACTGGTAACACTGTCTTTCAATTATAAACTCTTCTTTTTCTCTTTTATTTGTTTTTTTTTTTTGTTTTATTTCATCAATCCAAGTAAAGAAGGAAGCGTTGGATTATAAATGAAAAATGATTTCAACTTTGTTCTATATTATAATCGAAATGTCGTTGATTCATGTTTCATGAATTTTATGATATAACGTAGCATTAACGTAGAAATAATAAACCCGCGTTAAATAAGAAAATAAAAGAAAAGAGAGAGAGAGAGAGAGAGAGAGATCGGGGAGGGATCGTGCGTGAGGAGTAAGATAAGGTGCAATTATACGGTTGCATAGCATACCTTTAATTGTATACCCGACTCTCCCCATATAACGTAACGTTTCACGTCATTGTTCTCTCACGCTGTCGCTACGCTTCGTAATTTGTTTTTTTCTTTTCTTTTCTTTTCTTTTTTTTTTTTAACTATTAAAGTTACATCCTACCATCTCACGTCCTCTACCTACATTTTTCGCTCGATCGATTATTATTTTTTCTTTCCTGGGAATAGGCATCAACAATATTCGAATCATATTAGGTTATTTGAAAAGTAATTTTGTTTAGTCGCGTTTACTGATACCTCTGACATGAGCTTACTCTAAATCTTAAAATCATTTTACATTTTAGCAACGGATACTTCAGAAGTAATTTAAAATCTCGTTGGGTTTTGATCAATCAAGTAGATCATCAAAAATGACAAATACACAAACGAGCATTTTTATCGTATTTTACTTTTTTTTCTTTTTTATATTACCGTAAGGGTAATAATGCAGTACAAGGAAGAACAAAATTACGTTCAGTTTACGAAAAGAGAATATGTCAAACGAATGTCTTTTAATAATTTTGATTCGAAAGAATACACCACACGTTCGAGTTATCCAATTGAAAAAAAATGGAAGTCAAATAAAACCAATGGTTGTAATACACTCTTCGAGCAATGAAATACTTTTACGAATTTTACGGCCGATTTATTACACGGGATATTTATTGTTAATTATTTTTTGAAATTCGTCAGGTTCGTTCGATCGGTGCGACGTTTGCGGCTTGCCTATAATCTTTTGATCTTCTTAATTATATATAAATAATCATCGAGACACTGGGGTGGATTAATCTTTATAAATAATTCCTAGGCTTATAATGGGCCTACGTTAATGTCACTTATGTATGTCAACCAACATTCGTCTGCGAAAGATTCACGTGTGTTGTTGTGGGAGGGTGGGGGTGCATATGTATGTACGTGTACGACTGTACCCATACATGCAAGAAGATCAGCCGATTCCGTTAGTTAATCCGCACCCCCTTGTGGGATCTACGAAGGTCGGACAATCACGCTCTGTAATTGGACGAGAGCCTGTTGAGATGCACTCAAGACGTTGCTATCCATCGATGTGCTTGCTTCTCTCCACCTTCGAAGAATAACTCGACAGTTCGACCAATCAACGCAATCATTGGCCAATTATTATCAGTGGAAACACGCTTGGTTAGTTTCGATGGTTAAAAAAGAAAATAAACGAAAAGAAACGAAAAAGGGAAAATGAATATTGGGTTGAGCCAAAAGTTTGAGAACTTTTTTAAATTATCGATATTTCCAAAAAAGAAAAAAAGTAAATTTTACGAAAAGAAACAATCCCCATTATGCAGTTTCAAAGATAAAGTTTCAACAAAATAAACGTACGAAGAACTTTTGTATTATAGTAAAAAAAAAAGTACATATGAATTTGATCCCCTTCCCCCACCACCATTACTATCACCACCACCATAACACGTATTTAGAATATCTTATTTAATAATTGAAAGATATTATATATATATATTATGTGAGATAGATAGATAGATAGGTAGATAGATATTGTTTAAAAGAAAAAAAATAAATTACAAAATATAGATGCAAAAGAGGAGATAAAGGTAGTAGGAGTCGAAACGTTCAGACATTAATTCTGTACGGATTAATTCGGCATCGGCGTTATAGATTATCTCACGTAATCATTCCGGCGTACGAACGAAAACAGGTGGGTACCGTAGAGTCCATTATTATCCGCAAATATTATTCCAACTAATATGTCAGATATGTATATGTGTGTGTGTGTGCGTGTATGTAAGTAAAATATGCGTATGGGGGTGCGAGGATGGAGGTCAATCGATACGGATTTCCAATAATTATTTGATACTACGTAAAACGTTTTCCTACGTGTTGCGCACCCGTGCTTGCTTCGTCGGCTAATCTCCGCAGAATGTTCGTGCGGATATAAAATCAAACAATATATATATTGTACTATGTACTATTATTACGTAGGGGGGGTGGAAAATATTTACAAAAACAAAAAAGAAGGGTTTTTTTATTTCCTTTTTTGTTTGCTTCCTCGTTTATTCATTTTTTCGTTCCACCCCTTTTTTTTCGCATTTTTTTTCTACATTATTTTCGGTTGTTTCGTACTTTGACCAACAGCAACCAATAATGAATGATACAAACGATTTACTGAATGAATGGTCTCGTTCCGAAATGATCGTTCGTTCACTTATCGATACGTATAACATTGATGTAACACTGATAACGAGACATAATAACGAGGACAACGTGCCGTAGTTATAACTATCTTGTTAAATTCACCGAATCTACGGTTTATTCCATTCCAATACTAAAATTCGTCACACGTCTAAATGAAAATAATAAATCGTTCGTTTATTCGTTATTTCCTAACAATGAGAACCAACATTCACGTAATATACGTGTGTAATAAATAAATAGTATCAATGCTTAAAAAATTGCTTTGTAAAATTATTAAACAAATGTGACTATAATGTACATCTAAAACGAATAAACGTAATTTTCTATATTTAAAGGAGAAGAGTGGTTGTATTGGTGCTCGTCTTGAAAAGTAAAAGAAAGAAAGAAAAAAAGAAAGAAAGGAAAAAAGATGATGATAAAAAAAGAATGGATAAAGGGGTTAGAAGGGAGGCAGGGGTAAAGGAAAGAAGATGGGTCCGGAATAGTAGTAAGCTTTTCGCGTACGAGCAGATGTAAGCGAGTGCTTTCGTAGAAGCAGCAAGCAAGCAAGCAAGCAAGCACCAGTTCGAAAACATGGTACTATACTACAGGACGTAGGATGGTGGTTAGGGATGGAGTGGGAAGGGAGAAGGGTGATGGGCGAGGGTGAGGGATGCGTGTACATATTTTATGCGATTTTAATGTGTCTCTGCCTGACTGTTCGGCTTGCACGCTGCTCAACCTCCCAATCCACCTTTCGCGGAGAGCATCAACGTGATCTGGGCATACACCACCCAGCTACCACCCCACCCACCCTCTTCCTCCTTCTCCTCCTCCCTGCACGGACTAGGAGTGACTGCCGTGATGCTCTAATCGGCTTACGCAACAAACCACCCTCATTCCCCGTTTCCACCGCAGTCCTCAACGCTCTTCCAGTCTTTTCCTACCGTATCTATCTATCTCTCTCTCTCTCTTTACCTTACTCCTCTCTTTCAATCCTTCCTCCCCTTCTTCCCTCCTTTCTCTTTTCTTCGTCTCTTAGCTTAAAGCCAGGAGTAGCCTAAATGAAGTGGAACCAACCCAGCCGTCTATTACTTTGTGGTACACGCCAATCTGTTATTCTGACCGAGAATTAAAAAGGAAGATCGTCATTATCATCATCATAATCATCATCGTCGTCCACTATTGTTTATTCATATATCTTTCGTATTCTTTGTACAATTTGTTAGCTTTGAATATACGCGAGCAAGTTCTAAGCGTTCTGAAACGACGATCGGAATTTTTAACAACGTAACGAAGAAGAAGAAGAAAGCGACGACGACTACTACCAACCATCTCGCAGTAGTCTCAAGGATTTAAAAGAAACCGTTAGAAATATTTGAAGAGAGAGAAGAAAAACGCACGTATTTCCATCCATCCAGGGCGAAGTCATGCGATTAAATTGTAAGTATATAGTAAATGGAATGTGTTCTTGTGATGAGTCAGGTCACCACTACGACGCGTGGTTGTGTGTCCACCTCAGCCCTACCTTTCGTGTCGTGTTTGCCGAGCGTGCACGAGGGGCACTCGGTTGCCCTAGGCCAGGACGTGCATTATTGGATAGAGTTACATTAAACATACGCTCCATGCCGTATTGTTCGGATTATTTTCCAATACCGGTGTATAACGCGCGAGAGTGAACAACGGTGCTCGCACGCACTCACACACATTCGTTACACGAGAGATACCTATAGCACTATCCTCATACGACGACGACGATATCGGATGAACCGGAATGAGAGTTGCTATCGAACAAATGTACTACGGCTCTCGTTACTATGAGTACGCTCACTCTCTCTCTCTTTCTCTCTCTTTCTATTTTTTTTCCGTCTCCGACCAACGGTGTTTCCTTTGTTTTACTGTCCAAAAAAAAGAAATGTAGCCAATGTCAATCATACAACACCACATGCACCACCATGTGCATATACATAGAAAATTCGTAACACATTTATATATATATAGGATATATAAAAAATAGTATTATATTTCAATGTATTATGCATGTAGATCGCTTATAATAATAATAGTAATAATAGTAATAATAATAATAATAACGATATTTACAATATTTCGAACGTAGCCTCTCTAACATCGAAATATAATATATAAGAATAAAATTATTATACAACTATATAACCGGTACGTATATGCATATATATATATATAAAAATTTGTATTTATATTAAAATATTTTCTTTCTTTTCTTATCCATTCCTTCTTGTTGTTTCATTGTTCTTTTAGGCGTCGTTATACTACCCGACGCCAAACCCGACGCCGACGCCACCGCCTTCCTCTTTCTACGTTGGAACTTTTTCTCATTCGACGTCGACTCGTTTTCATTTTCTTTGCGGATATTTTCGTTTTCTTCGTCATCGGTTGTCTTCGTCGACGGGGTTACATGCGCGAACACAAAGTTCTTAGTATTCATTGGCGCCAAATTGATCGTATCGTTCAGTCTTACTCTTTTGGCTAGACGATCCAATTCCTCTTCTCCTCGTGATAACAACGAACGTTTTTTCATAATTGTCTGAAACGATCAATGTAATAATTACATTTTTAAATGTATATATATATATATATATATATATACTTGGTTCTTTTTTTATAATAATATTTATACGCATATGTTAATTAGATTCGCGACCAGAGTTAGTTTAACTGAAAACCGCACGAATAATGGCTTGAGAAATATAAAACACATATTTTTAACAAAATAATACTACAATTTAAATATTGTAACAATCAAACGAAATTGTATAAAACAAATGAAGTAATTAAAATTTATTATTCAACGGCATAGGAGGATCACATTGCCAATATTTAATTACAGATTTTTGAATTACTTTAAGATTACTTTGCCGGTCTCGAACGTGTTAATAATAAATATGTATTGATAAAGTAATAACGTAATTTATTTTGTATTAATTATTATACGTTAGAATAATTACTTACTTTAATCACGCTTCTCCTTCCTTCTAATGCAGGTGAGTTCAATAAATCGGTTAAATTACGTGGCATTATCGGTTCTATCATAGGCAAATTATTTTCCAAACAATCCTTTTTCTCCGATTGTTTAGATTCGATTTTATTTTTCAATAATTTCACGCCAAAATTAAAGATTTCACTTTTTTCCAAATCCTCTTCGATCTCTTTGTCTACTGCTTTCTGCAAAATTAATTAAATTGTCCACATCGAGTTTTAATTAACTTTCATAAGAATAGAATATTTTTGTCTTTTTTATTCCTTATACCTTTTTCTCCTCGATAAATTTGTCTCTTTCGTGCCGAAGTTTGCACCATTCTAATTCATTCTCGTTTTCTTGCGCATCGAATCCGGCGTCCGTATCATCGTTGACATTAGAAGCATCGTTATTATCACCAAGTTTATCTAGATGTGAACGTGATAAAATTATTGAAATAAATTTTCAAAATATATTCCACAAATACATAGAACATTTCTATTAATATTATATTGATATTTAAAAGTACCTATATTTTTCCATTTGAATTTTCTTTCTCGTCCGCTACCCTCGGTATACAAATCACCATCCTCGAATAATAATTCTTGTAACATTCTCACCTCCCTTTGATCCTGATCTAACATTTGTTTCATATGAATTTTTTCCAATTGATTATGCACTTTATTTTCATCGATATCATCCTCGTCTCCTTCCTCTATTTCCAATTTATCCAAATCTTGTTCATCCTCGTCTGCGGAATTCCAATCGCTTTCGCTCAACTCGGCTTCTTCTTCCAAAAATTCAGCAGCAATTTTATTCTTGCCCTTCTTCGGTTGAACAACTTCATTTTCCTCGGAATCGTAATCAACGTAATCGTCGTTTACTTTTTCCTCATCCGATTCTACGTTAACCCGACGATTATCGTTTTCCTCGTCGTCGTCGTCGTCGTCGTCGTCGGATAATTCTAATTTTTTAGGATGTTTTTTCATTACTTTTACTTTACCTTTGTGATTAGAATCATCTTCGCTGTCAGACGATAATATGACCGATAATTTATTCCACGTAGCTTCGGCGTTTTTCGAATTTTCTTCTTCTTTTTCTTTATCTTTATAATTATTGCTAGGTGAAACAGAATTTTCTTCCAAAAAGAGCGTTATGTCTTGAGAATTGTCGTTTTCAAACAATATATTTTTGTCTGATTTTGATACGTCTGACATATCTTTGTTGAATTCATTCATTGTCAATGAAGATGTTTGTTCCGATGATATTGGATTTGATTTCATCATCTGCATAGATGGAAATGCTCCTGAACATAATTGCATGAGATCTTCGTCATTAGCTACATCGTTATAGTCATCGAAAAGCTTTTTTTGTGGTCCTAATCGCTTATCTATACTAAAACGATTTTTAGATGTATCGAATGGCGTTTGAGATAATGAATCGACATCATTACCAAATACAAACTCTTTCTTAGCTGAATTCTTTTTAGAAGAATTCGAGTTTGCATGTAGTATTGTTAATTGAGTAATCGGAGATACAAAATCAAGAACATTTGTTTTAATCAATGGCGTCTTACATATTTGCGTTAAATCTGATTGTTGATTATTTTTTTGAAAAATTGAAATATAATTTTCTTCGTCGCTGTTCCATTGACTTTGACAATTATCATCAATCGTTTCAAATATATCCACGTCTGTTTTATTTCTTTTAAAAACTTTTTTCTTCGTTTCATTAGTCTCACCCATTGAACTTTTTGACGACGACAAATTAGAATCATCTTCAAACGCTTTTATGATTCTCTTCGGTTTCCATTTCTTTTTAATGCCAATACTTTCATCATTTGTGTCTTCATTATTTTGTTCATTATTATCATCGTTGTTCTCCTCCTCCTCCTCCTCCTCTCCCTCTTCCTCTTCCTCTTCCTCTTCTTCTTCCTCTTCCTCTTCCTCTTCCTCTTCCTCTTCTTCCTCTTCTTCATTTTCTTCTTTCTCCTCCTCCACTTCATTATCATCATCTTCAATTTCACTTTCCATTGCTTCATCGTCCGCAAATTCACACAAAGACTTGTATTTTTTATCTACCATTGGTATATCGTTCTCTTCTGGTTCACTTTCTCCGCTTGTGCTAGATTCATCCAGTAACTTTTCTTCAATCTCGTTATTATCTATGCCTACATCGTCTTCTTCTAATTCATCCTTATCCTTTTCCTCTTGCTCCTTTTGTTTCCATTCTTCGTTACGTTTCATAGCCATTTTAAGTTTCAGGTTTTCTTTCAGACGTTTCAATTTAGCTCCAGGCTTAGATAATTCTGGATCTTCTTTTTCAATAATTGGCTTTTTATATAAAAGCGAACGTTTAACTGCCTTTAATCCATCGGTAGTATTTTCTATGTGAAGAACATTTATTTCGGTTGTTTCTTCTGCATTTTTATCGCCCGCAGTATGTTTGACAAAAAATCTATTTATTAAATTTTCCACGCCTTTCTTGTTTGGTTTTACGTCACGCGATAAATCAATTATCATACCTGGAGAGCCTTTTAATCGTGGCTCTACATTTTTTTTAATATCTAGTAGTAATTGTTTTCTAGCACTGTTTTCTTCTTCAACGACAAAATCTGGTAACGGTAAGCCTTGTACACACTCCGCTGTTTTTTCTATTGTATTTTCCAACACAGAGGTTTCTATATCTCGGTTATCATCGCTAGCTTGATCATGCAATTTATCATTATCATTTTCGTGCAATGAAATATTTGCATCAATAGCTTCCAATACTTCATTTTCTTTTTCTTCTAAACATATTTCATTTGTCTTTTCCAATACAATATTTTTTTCTAATATATCTTCGTCGTATTTTTTAACTTCACATTCCACTAGATCCAGTAACTTATTTATTATTTCTTGTACAATTGTTTCATCATTTTTATTATGATCATGGATAATATTCTCTGATAAATCAGTTTTTTCTATTTTATCACTTAAATCTGCTGTATCTTTTATCTCATTATTATCAATAAATAATCCTTCTGAAATATTGTTTACAGTGGATTCGCAATGTGAAATATCTTCGTTAATGGAAGAACTTTTGGTACCATTAGTCATTACCTTTTCAACATTTTCAATAAAAATACAATCGGCATCATTTAAAAGTGTCGTTCCATTCCCAACTGGAGATGTGCTAGCATCTTTGATTGTAAGTTCAGAAATAGGATTTTCTACTTTCCCTATTTCTTCATCCGAATCAGAAGATTTGTAAAATTCTTCTGCTTCTTTTTCTTTATCTTCAAGTACTTTGCTATATATAAAAAAGAAAAGAAACAATTGATTGATAAATAATTTAAAAATATTTATATTTAGTATGAAATATGAAGATATTACCTTACAATAGCAGAAGACATTTTGAGTTTAGTAGCAGTCGTAGGTGCATTGGGAAGAGTTACGGATACTTTTTTTCTATTTAAAAATTCCTGCAATGTTCGTGGTTTTGGTCTATGATATGGTAAGGATAATTCAGTTTCTCTAATTAATCGTTGAGTTTCACTATGAATTTGTCTCATTGCTTCATTTTTAGAAGCTCTGATTGAACTCTGAAATAATAATTTTATGAATAATTTATATGATAATTAATTATAGTATCACACACATAAAATTAATCCTTTGCATTATAATGTTTGAGACAAAAACGGGCACAAAATATAGTATTGACTTTGGCATGCAGCTCTGAGCAAAAATTATATATTAAAGTTTACATCCATATGCTGTCAGTGAACCAGAAAAATCAATACATAGAAGAATTAATCTTCTAAATGGTGTTTTCCCTTAATAAAAATTATACTCTACTTACTTTCCTAATGCTTTCTTTCTTCTTACTCGTTGACTTGGTCATACTTTTATTTCCCTTTTTTAATACCGTAAATTTGTTATCATTTTCGACAAAAGTTGACGGTTGAATTTCATCTTCATCTGACTCGCTATCAACCAGCATTTCAAATCTTTTTACTGGTTTATTGGACTAAATAGTTATAACAAATTCATTATATGATTACCATTATTTGTATACATAAGTAATTAATGTATCAGTAATATAAAAACTGAACTTACGCTTTCTTTTTTTTCTATTGAATTTTGAGATGCGCTAACAGAATCATCATCATCATCATCATCATCATCAATTAACATTATCTTGTTTTTCTTCTTTTTAATAATATTTTTTTCTGAACTAACATTAGAAATAACAGATTCTGAGTCATCGTCAATAACATTTTTCCTCCTATGCGATGAAGAAATACCAATATCACTGTCTTCGGAATCACTGTCTATAACATTTGAATACTTCTTCGATGATGATTTAACTATATTAATTTGATCATTACTTTCCAATAAAATATCTTTATCTGTATTATCTGAATCTAAGACACTTTTAATATTATTATCTACATTATCACAGTTAGCTATAACTTCAGAATTCATTTCTTTTAGAACTTTTTCCAAACTATCATCTTTGGATTGATTATGTGTAATATTATCACAAGATGTTTTTATAATTTCATTCATTAAATTCTCCTTATTGTTATCATTAATAACTAACTCTTCATTATCATCAACGTCCCTGTGTTGTAAATTATTATTTTGTTCCACAATAACAGTTGCCATATTTATTATAGAGAAAATAAAACGAAGATTAAATTAAATAACAAATGGATAAACAAATTTACTTTAAAAACATACTGTCTGATTACACGTGAAGCACAAAAGAATGTATGTACATACTGCCGCCAAATCGTTAACAACTTTAAAAATTAAAAAGTTACTAATCGAAGCAGATTCCTAGTGTATTTTCCCATATATACACCATTTTTTTTAAGGTCTTATGAATGAAGCATATTATTCGAGAGTTATTACATTTATGTGCATTATATTTTGTATAGAGTTTTAAAAATGCTAAGTCATTTTTATTTAACTAATTAAATTATTCATATGTTTTTTGAAAATATAAATGAATTTGCAAATTTATATTCATATTTATAATGTTGGTAAGAAACGTACGCGTTGAATAGGTTCTCATCGGTGTGAATTTATCGGTAAAAGTTAAACCATCAGTTTAATTGAAACATAATTTAGTTTATTGAAGCGTAAATGCTTAAATAAAGGGAAAATATAATAAAAAATACTTAATAACCCATATATACAGCAGCAAATATGACAAAAGGTATGTCTAAATACTGTAACGTTGTGTACTAAAAATACCGGTACAAGAGGTTAAGTTCAGAACAAGCGTTTACAGAGAGTGAGGAGTATAAATATCAAGGAATTATGAATTTTGAGACATCCTTTTTTTCAGGCTTTGAAGGTATAATAAAATGTTTATTTATTGCATCATTGATGTATTCAGTGTCTATATAATATACGAATAATGTTCGTTCAATATTATTATTATTATTAATATATGTTTAGAGAACAAAGAAACAATTTCAATGTATATTACCATTACATTTTAGACGAGGCTATAGAGAAGAAATCTGTGGAAAACAATGACACTGATAAAAAAGCAGCGTCCGAAGCTGGACCAGATCCATCTGCACCCATTACGAGAAAGGGTGTTTTAACTTCATTCTTAACTGGCAAGCCTATGGAAATACCTGATCAAGATATTGTAATTATTCCTATTATTGTATAAATTTACATTTTGTTTTACAGTATATTAATAATAAAATTTTATCATTTCACATTTACCAGCTTGGAAAATGTCGATTTGTATCGGAGTTTGAAAAATTGAATCGCATTGGTGAGGGTACTTATGGAATAGTATACCGAGCTAGAGATACCAAAAATGACAAAGTTGTTGCTCTTAAAAAAGTTAGAATGGAACATGAAAAGGATGGATTGCCAGTAAGCGGTCTGAGAGAAATTTCTGTTCTTCTATCTTGTCGTCATGAAAATATTGTTCACTTGAGAGAAGTCGTCGTTGGAAGAAGTTTAGAAAGTATATTCCTCGCGATGGAATATTGCGAACAAGATTTGGCTAGTTTATTGGACAACATGCAGGCTCCATTTTCGGAAAGTCAAGTCAAATGTATTGTCTTGCAAGTATTGAAGGGCCTAAGATATTTGCATCATAACTTTATCGTACATAGAGACTTGAAAGTTTCAAATCTTCTTATGACCGATAAAGGATGCGTTAAAATAGCTGATTTCGGACTTGCTAGATGGTTTGGATTACCTTTAAAACCAATGACTCCCAGAGTAGTAACATTGTGGTATAGAGCACCAGAATTGTTATTACAAGCAAAGACACAAACAACTTCAGTTGATATGTGGGCTGCTGGATGTATATTAGGTAAATAATAATAATACTGCTTATTATTTAATATATGAATACGTTAATTTATTATTCATATATTCTTTTATATTAGGAGAACTGTTGGGTCATAGGCCTCTTTTACCTGGACGTACAGAAATTCAGCAACTGGAATTAATAGTTGATTTATTGGGTACACCCAGTGAAGCTATTTGGCCAGAGTTTAATTCTTTACCGGTCTTACAGAATTTTACTCTTAAACAACAACCGTATAATAATTTAAAACAAAGATTCCCTTGGTTAAGTGCAGCTGGTTTGAGATTATTAAACTTTTTATTCATGTATGATCCAAAGAAACGAGCAACTGCGGAGGAATGCTTACAAAGCAGTTACTTCAAAGAAGCACCATTACGTTAGTATAATTTATAAACTTATATATAATTACAATAAAATTATCTTACTTGTACCAAGTATCACATATTACAGAAATTTAATATTTATTTATTTATTCGACAGCCTGCGATCCAAAACTTATGCCAACATTCCCTCAACATCGAAATATGAAGAAAGTTGTTCCGCCTAAAGAAAATCGTGAACAAGAGAATAATGTTACAGACCAGACTAATAATTTACCAGCAATTTCTGATCTAGTAAGTTAAGAAATGTAATAATAGAAGAATAATTGAAAGTAAAGGATTTATCAATCGAATTATTGAAACATTTTGTTTTATTTTACAGTTGGGATCTTTAGTTAAAAAGAGACGCGTGGAATAAACAGAAGTCTAATCTTCTTTTCACAAAAACATTTTTAACTATTTTTCCTGGATTACAAAAAAAAATTTTGTATTTCATTACAAATATAATATCTAAGTTTAATGTATAAAGTATTCATGTACGACAAAAGAGAAAAGACGTTATTTACGTATCATATAGTTTTAAAAACGAATATACTTACGTTTTTATTCGTTTGCTCGTGTGACATTTTCGTATGACTACGTCTATTTCGTGTTAATCAATTTCGAATTAATCAATTTCAAATTAATTAATTTTTCATTTGAGAAAATAAAATCTTTAATCTAGTACACGCGTATCGATTGATGATATATACAAAAATTTTTTTAATATTTGAAGTATCGCATATATGTAGATGAGGTTGAAATGTTTTCAGTCCAACATAGAAGCAATTTATTTTTTCAGTCAAACTGATTTTTATTTTTTCTTTAAATATAAAAGTTTGTATTGTTACAGCTCAAAAATGTTCAAACCACCCGCGTATATGCATAAGGTGCATCTAACTATCGCCGACTTCAGTCTTTCACATATATATATTATTAATATTAATATTAATATATATATATATATATATATTATTATTATTATTATTAATATTATTTTCATTTTGTTATGATTAATATTATATACTATATTATCTCTAGATGATTACTATTATTTCTTATGAGTAACATCATGGTTTCTTACTAAACCTTCTTGCCGCTTTGCAATCTATCAAACTGTTTCTCGTATTCACCTTGTGGATCGAATTTAGCGATTAGCCGATCCCAATCTTTCGGTCTTCTTGCTTTAAGATGATTCCTGACCTTTTCAATAATATCTTTTTGCTTCTGAGTGCATTTAATGCAATTCGTACTAAGAGCGTCAGGTAGAATTTCTGTGTAAGAGAAAAGAATGATAATAATTAAATAACATTTGTTACATTTTTGACGATAATATCAATAACGATAGTGAACTTAGTTCTATGCAATTCGTATTTTTATAACAATTTTCACAATTGCCTGTTCTTCATTTTTTATTTTGTATTTCCTATTAGCATTAATATTTGCGCAAACTTCTTCGTACGAATTTGTATTAAAAAATATGTCGTCGATCAATTCTTGTAAGATTATCTTACGATACTTTCAATTAAAAATCCATGACCGGCTTGTTAGAAACCCGCGTGAAACTTGAGAAAGTTCAAAACGCATCTTATGCAATCGTTAGAAGTATATTGAACTCTGTTAGAGAAATAATGTAATCCAAAACCATTTTAAATAATCTTTCAATTATTTGATATAAATATATATTATATATGTAATAATAATATTATATGTCTTATTAATTATATTATATTTAATAAGGATATATACTAAATAATATATATTAAATATAATATTATTACACATATATAATATTTATTTATTTTTATATTTTTCACTGAATAAAAAAAAACATATTAAATAATTATTCACGTATAATATATTTCTAATTAATACTTACTTTTCATTTCGCGACCTTCCGAAGTGCAGGAACCCTCGCCGAGTATACATCGAATGTAACTGGTAAGGACACGATCGTTTCGAAGAATTTTATCAACGTCAAAGTCGTCATACTTGCTAGGATATTTATCAGCAGCATAAACCACTGTCACCAACAATGCCAAAAGGATCAAATATCTTGCCATTTTCTTCACCGCGTATTTTCTTCTTGAATGAGAAAAAATATTGAAAGACAACAAATCAATCTAATAGGAGAATAACGAAAATTTTTTTTTTTTTCTATACCACTCTAAGGGAAAGTTTTTAATAGAATACTTCGTTTATACCTACCTGCGTCAGTAAAAGTTGAATAATCAAATGGTATCCACGTTAAGTCACCTTTTATATAGCTGACCAACCATTGGAGGGGTATTCGTGTTGACGATCGAGGATATACGACGTTTATGTCTTTCTCTCGTAGGCGTGCAATGCAATGCAAGTATGAGGTAACGGGCCAGATTAAAAAAAGGCAAGCAGAAAAAGATTAAAATCATAACAGATTCGTTTACAAAAATTTAACAACATATCTCATCCATCCTTTAGGTACAATGCCTATAATTGTTACAATTTTTTAACGTAAAAACGCTAATTTGTTCTTTTTTTTTTTATTACATTGATCGTAAAAATATTTACTATTGTTGCACATCCCGTGCTGATAAATTAAAACGGATGTACTAACAGTAAATTAACGAAATTGCACAAAATTTGTATTAAGATTTATTTCGTATTACAATTGTTTAATTAAGTTTTTTTTTTTCCTAATTGTTCGTCTTAGTTCGCTATCGTAATTATTACCGATGTACGCGTGTGTGTGGATTTTTTCAAATTCTTAATTCGAAATTGTTTAGGAAAAAATGTAATTTTGTTTACAAGTAAGATCTGTAAATAAAAAAGTCTGAACTTTTGCGTAAGAGAAAGAGAAAGAGGTAGACACGAATGTTTTTAATCGCATTGATATATTCGAAGTTTATACAAAATAAGAAAAATAATTTATTGATTTGATACATGTAAGTATATACATTAATTGTATGTTAACCTTACAACGACGTTTAACAACTTCGATGAAGTTATTTATATGCAGAACGTATTAGGACATTGACATACTTTATTGCACTCGGATTACGTCAAGAGAAATCACTTCTTATAATTTTTAAACAAATCGATCAATAAAAACATCGATCTCTTATACGTATTTAAATTAGATAAACAAGTTTAATATATACAATATATATTTTTTTTTTCATTTATTTATATATAAAAGAATGCAGTAAACGTAAGATTTATAATTTTTCGAAACTACAGACGCCATATTGTACTTGTCTCTTTTTATTTTATTATTTAACATTAAATTGACGTATTGAGCCAATTTAATTTATTTCAAAATTTTGTTGCTATATATATATATATATATATTTTAAAAATAATCTTTTGGTTTTTAATGCAGTAATGATATTATATTCATAAATATTAATTCCTTCCCTCTAATGGCTTCTTCATTCAAACAATGTTTGTAAATTTTTAAAAAACTAATGAAAAAAACATTCGTAAATCTAATCAATTAATGTTGTTAATTAAAAAAGAATACTATTTCAAAACTAAAATTAATTTAATGTTACAAAATATTGAGAAACGAAATTAATTTAAAATAAATAATAACTTGTTCAAAGATTTGAATAAGTAATAAAATAATATTGAAAGAAATTCTAAAACGTTTCGTCAATAAATATCTGAAAGAGCTAATCGATTTAAAATATGAAAATAATGTTTAACGAAAGATAATTATTTTTACAATAATACATTTCGTAAAATTCATTTCTCATTTAAATCTGTTTGTTTTTCTTTTTTTTTTTTTAAAGAAACTTGCAATCAGACTGTTGAATATCGATATTTAATATTGATCTGAGATGTGTTCATTAAAATCTCATATATAAATACTTAAGATGATTCGATGAAATGCAAGACGTGAAAAGAGAAAGTTATTTCTACACGAGTAGAATCGATGTTAGAAAAGTTGCATGACGTACCACGCGTATAAGCAGTTTAAAATGATTTTTTTCAACGAGTAACTTCCGGATTAACCGGCACTTTAATTTCCTTTTCTCTGACGTAATAAAACAATAAACGTCTTAAGGGGCTTATCAGAAGTAAAATTATTTTTTATTCGTCTAATTAGCAATCGTACAAATCATAATTGTTTGCTTATCTGTTGTATATAAAATAGTAAAAAAAAAAAGACAATCTCGTAGTTACGATGATCGAATTATTTTAATTTCAATCAGAAGCATGTAAACGTTTTGAATAACATTTAATTATAGTATTACATTCGACTGTATAATAGTGTTGCATAAAATTTCGTAATTTTTCATAGTTTTGTCTTACATTACATTATTCTTTGATATACAAATATATTTAAAAATATAATTATAGTAACAAAATTGTATAAAAGATTAGAGTTTATTTTTATAATTTTTAATTAACATATATTTGCTCTATATATTGTATTTTTTTTTTTAATGTTTATAATTATCTAACACAATAAAATGACTGGACTATTTTTTAAAAGTGCATTAGGTAATCTCTTCTAGAGATTTTTGTTAGTATTTTATGTAGATCGTATATTGGTATCACTGCCATGGGTTGCAACTAACCTCCATTTTATGAGGTTGGGGAAGCAATCAGAAGAATTTAAAGAATACGAAATTAAGAAATATCAATAATATTCAAAATGATATTCTCATTACGTATGATTGCTAGGAATAGCATTTATCAATTTCGTCAGTTTCACAAATGGTAAAATTATTTTCTATTAACTTTCATTCATTGTATTTTAATTTAATCTTTATGGTAGCTCACTTTTTACATTTATCTCTTTGTTCTGTTAAATATTATTATTAATAATAATTATAAAATTATTTTGCAGTGTCGTCGTTTGTCAGTCAGATGCAGCACCAGTTGCATCAACAAGACCGACAGAAAATTTGACTATACCGGTACCAGAAGGTATGGATAAACCGGTTAGTGCTAAATTGGACCAAATAGCTAAAGATATAATAAGTCTTAATCTTATTGAAGTGATGGAGTTAAGCAATTTATTAAAAAAGCGACTAAATTTACCTGATGCTCCGGTGATGCCTGTTGGAGGTTTTGTATCTGCACCGAAACAAGTAAATATATTGATTGTTAAATATTATTGTTTAATAAAGTACAAATCTCTTTTATTATATTAATTATAATAAACTTTTGTTTACAGGAGGAAGAAGATGCCCCGAAAATAGTAAAAACTTCTTTTACCGTTAAATTGTTGAAATTCGACGAGAAACAGAAAGTTCCTCTCATTAAAGAAATTAAAAATTTGTTACCCAACACAAATCTCGTACAGGTATCGTATATTTCTATTTAGATTTTTAATATTTTTAATTTTTGTAGACATTATATTAACCGATCTTTATTATTTAGGCTAAGAAATTTATTGAAAGCATACCGGTGGTTGTGATGGCAGACATTTCCAAAGAAGAAGCAGATAAACTTAAAGAAACTATTAGTAAAGTAGGTGGAGAAGTTGAAATTACGTAATTTGGTAATTTAACATTATAATTAATCTTCATGTATTTTGTATTAATAAATTGTATAAATTATCGAAAATTCATATATAGTTTAGAAAATAAGATACTTTTATGGTTGTACGGTGATTTGAAAATTAAATTTTTAGCTATTATAAATCTTAATTAGAACCAAGAGTATAATATGCGGAAAATTACCGTGACTCGTTAATTTCAAATCGATAAATTCGGTTAGATAAATTTAACTTTAAAAATAGTGATGTGTGTGTAACACATGTAGTATATATATATAATTAATATTTAGAATTATTTATTATTTTTATAATTGGTAAATTTTTTGTTCTATGTCAAAAGATTTTCATTGGAGGTTTAAAAAGCTTTGTTAATGATTAGCGAATTAAAAATCAGCAAAAGCGCCAATCTGGTGTACATAATTAATACTATTTCAATAATCAAATATTATATGATAGATGAATGTCTAAGGTAAGCGGCAGCTTCGTGGTAAGTGGTTTTATTTCTTTGCTCAGAAATTTGAAAGTCAAAATGCCGAACAAACGGAAAAAGCGTAATGCGTTTTTTTATTTTATGCTTGACTGGAGAAAAAAAGTAGAAAAATGCGGAATGTTTTTTGCAAGTTTAAAGGAAGTCCAAAATTCTCCTGAGTGCAGTGAGGCATGGCAGGTAAAACAAAGAAAATTATTTCAAAGTACTTCTTTCTTTATATATATATTTTTTTCTTGAGGTCCTTCTGTATACCATGTTTTATATTGAGAAGGATAAATTTAATTAAACTTTATAATTGTGATTTTGTATTATGAATTAATACATTGAAAAATATATTTTTTAATTATAGAATTTATCTTCTCATGAGAAACAACATTATAATGATTTAGCGAAGAAAACACTATCTGATAACGTTAAATTAAATTGTCGTGGTGAACCGATAGAATTGGTTAAACAAAAAGAATATGAGTTAGCAGAGTTTAATAGGGTGATGCGCAATCATATATCTAATACCATTAATGATAACTTAAGTAACGAAAGTATGTTATTTAATATTTTAATTATAAGATATAAAACAACAATACATATATATATATATATATATATAAAATACTATTTGTACGGGATGTCTTGTAACTATATATCTTTTTGCAGAACTAAACCAAGTTAAATTTTACTTTTTACATTTTAATTGGCTTTATATTACCAACGATGGTATTTATATTCCCGTTGAATATGCTATTGGAGAATTTACCTTGCAAGACGGTATCACCAGATTTCATCATAAGATTCTTAATATAAAACCTAAGATTGGTTACGCTTGGCAATCTACTGAAATTAGTAGAAATAGTCATAAAATTCTTCCTGAATTTTCTGGAGGTGAAAAAGATTTTCGTCGTTTATACTTTGAATTCATAGAATTTTTAAAGCCTGGTAAAATAAATAACGAATATCCACCATTGTTTGTTACGAAAAAAATATATGATGGAGTACCATCATTTCTCGATCAGTTAGCTGATGCAGCAGGTAATTTGATTCCAATATATACAGGCTTTTAATGATCACATATCTCTCATTTTCAACAAATTGTTTATTATTGTAGATTGTGAAAATACATTTATTATATATTCGATTGAAGTATTATTCACTGCATTGCGTAATGCTGCATTGATTAGGAAAGGCATAGATGCTATTTCAGAATCTGTTGGAGAACAAGAATTTGGGATGGAGAAATATATGTATGAAAAAAATATAGAATGCAGTGTGAGTATGCATGCGTATTTGAAATATGTATGAAATAGAATTTCATACGTAGAAGGATTATTTTAATAGTACTGCAACTAAAGTTTTACATCGAATGAATTTATACTTTGATATCCTTTTTTTTTTATTGTGACATTTTTAGTATCATGAGATTATAGATGGAGGAAGTCAGTTTTGTAGTTTGTCATTAATAAGACAATGGTCCTATATCATTTGTGATTATTCTTGCGACGGGCTTGGAATTGAATATAGACCTGGATTTAATTGTGCTGCTAGTCTGTCGAAAGACTATATATATAACAAATTACAGAATAAAACAGATAATGCATTGAAATCTATACGATTTGATAATCCGATAGAATTTTCAAAAGTAAGAGCATAAATTAAATGATTAAGTTTTTTATTATTATAATATATATATATATTTATCATCTTTGTTAACAATATGCTTGAATAATATTGGTAACAAAGATTTATAGGCAAGAATCTTTTGGGAAGATAAAAGAAGTAGAAGAAGAAGAATCATCAAAATGTCGTGAAGATAAAAACAAAATACAAAGAATAAACAACTATAAAAATAAGGAATCGCAATTTCCTATTTCTTCTCCTATTGTAAATATTATAATTACAAAATACATACACATTTTTGGTTGTTGTTTAATATATTTATTATTTACATGTTATTGTCTTTACAGAAATTTGAAAGACCATTGAGACTTCCGAATACACCGAGTAAGATTTGTTAATTTATTTCTTAATTTGTAGATATTTTGTTCATCATATTATCAACTTTATTAATTTTGTAGGCCTTCCTGTTGCTGCAGCTTATACTAAAAATATTTCTAACGAAAATCCATTTGCAGATTTTGCTGACCTGAAAATCAGAATAGGCAGTAAGTCCTTTACGATTTCAGATATTGCTTGTTTTCGTAGATTCAAATGTAAATTTTGAACAAAGTTTTCCAAACGAAATTCTAATTTTTATTCATCTTAGAATTTACTAGTAATTGTGTGTAAAAAATTACATTTTAGGAGGGAGAGCAAAGATGCTTTCTAATTCTGTTTCTCCTAAAGTTGGAATTGGAAGAGGTTTGTGCATATATATATTTATCATTCTAAATAGTATATTATAATTTTTATATTATATACAGGGTGGTAACTGATGGTACAAGCAAAAATGTAAAATAAAATTTGTTCATATAAAGTTTTGTTTTTGAGAAAAATAAGTTTGAAAATTTGTCGAGTACTTGTACACTTAACCTTGTGCACTCGACTTTAAACTGAAACTGAGTCGTATACTCGATAAATCTTTAAATTTATTTTTCTTAATAGCAAAGCCCAATATGAATAAATTGTATTTTTCAATTTTGACTTAGTTTTTCACGTAGAATCACTCTCTGCTCGTTTGTACCACCTTGTATATGCGTGTGTATGTATGCAAAAATATATTAAAAATATAATTTTATTTTTTATTGTAACAGGACGTAACGGATTTTCAGAATAAGCCAAAGTATATTTTTATTTAAAGAGATTGGAACATATATTTTTTTTATGTTGTTTAGAGTTGTTTTCTATTACAAAGGATATTGTAATAAGAGAATAATATATAAATATTTTTTTATATAATGGTGAAAGACTAAGAAAAAAATTGGCAGAAAACAAAATGTTTATGAATTAATCTTGATGATAATTGATTCAAAAAATTTGATCTAAAAATATAAAGTAGAATTATTTTGTTTTCTTCAATTATATTATTGCAAGGTTGATTGGTACTTATTAATACGTATGTTATTGGAAAAGTCTGAAATTTCTTTATTTTATTATTCATTTCTAAACTTCAGTATTAATATTTTTATTATTACATTGAAAAAAGTTTATTTTATACGTAAGTTTAATTTTGTTATATTTGTTTTCACCCTAATTACGTTTCTTGTGAGTTTTTTCGTCAAAGATTAAATATGAGTGAAATAAATATATATATATATATAAGTATTAAAATATTATATATCTTTAATAAAAAAGAATTATTATAAGCGAGCAAATATTATTCTTTCTTTTCGACTGAGATTTTACCATATAAAATTCACCCTTCTCGGTTTTATTACGATAACAAGTGTACCCTCTACGTCAGCATTGTTCAATCTTTTTCTTATCCGACTAAATATATTTGTTTAAAATTTTACACAAGTCGTTAATCTCTCTAAATTCCCTTTGTATATTATCTTAAAAATATTTTATTTTGTTTTTTTTCGGTATTTCCGTAAACTTACGAAAACATTTTACGATCAATTTCAGAATACTTCTTCAGAATGAATTATTATACTTTCCTCATTTGAGTTTAAGGATAAAAGTTATAATTTTGCAACTCATTAAAAATTTAATATACCTCGTAAGTTCCGAAACTTTGTTTATATAATAAATTTTCACTGCTATTGGATGCACTGTTGCACGTAATTAATGTACAGTAATTACTATAATAATTGTTATTATGTAATTAATATAACATGTGAGTTCGAACAAAGTATATAAGATTGAGGAATATCAATTCTTCTTTTTTTCTTTGTTTTTTTTTTTTTCTAAATTAATAGAAATGATTTCATTTTCATAAAAATAAAAAGACACATTAGAACAATAATTATTAATACTAACAATAAGATGAACATTTTTATTTGATAAAGTTATCTCCGGTGGTTGCCAGTTCGATTTATTTCTGCCAACACCTGAACAATCGTAAAACCCCGAGACAAAAGCATGCATCCCTTCGTTTTATGGTTTTCCAAATGGTGATTTATCCGTTCTCGAGATAGCTTGTTTTCTATTGATTTAAGGGATTAGAAAATGTTTTTAAAAATCGATACTATTATACTCAAAAACATGAAAATAAATAAAGCACACAAGAGAGTTTCTATATTATTAAATACATAAACTAAAATAAACACGGAGACGAAAATACACGTCGTCAAATAATATTTCATTCATTATAGTGTTATCAGTAAAATAATATCACAATATTAGTTTAAGGATCGGAACTTGGTTATTTTGCAGGCCATCCCATCCAATGCATTCAAAATTGAACTTTCAAATCACGGGATCGCATAAATTATGATTTTCTTTTCGTTTAAACTAAAACTTCGATATTTCGACGTATAGTATAGGTTGCTTGAAAACTTAGAAAAGAATAAATTTACACAACTTTTCAATCCATCCTCGTATATTTGTACACATAAATATTAAGTTCAATAAAGAGGAATAGGTGTATTGGGGTTTTGTTTGGATTGCTTTTTACTATTCTACGAATGGAAGAATCCGAGTGGAAACATTGTCCTGAATAGTTCAATCGTGAGATCGTATGTTAAGACTATTGTTATTACTCATTTTCAGAAAAGAAAAAGAGAGGTAAATAAGCTTTAGGTTGGATTAAGCTTAGGGATGAATAATTTCGTCACAAATGATACCCTTAACGGAGTACTTAATAATAATACTGCAAATGTTTAATTACGAGTTACGTTCATTTTTTAATTTGCCACTTTAATATTAATTATTGATATTTACAAATAAACATCAGTTCAAATAAATGTATTTATAGCAAACAATGGTTCCAGCCAATTAATTATAAAATATATAAGCATTAATTATACACATTTTCATATAAGATATTTATATATATATATATATTACATTGATATTAACTATCGTTGTAATAATCCTACGCAAAAGCAAACAACAAAATATATTCACGTATCTTACCGTACAAAAATATCAATTTTCAATTTAGATACACGCGTACAATTAATAAACAACCAAATTTCAGATCTATTATTTCATTTTACAATATTTATGGAAATATGTCAGGGACGTGGGGTGGGGGGGGGGAGAGAGGGGTATAGGGGTCAACGATGTTACTCGAAACCAATATTTCAAACAAAAAGTTAAATAATTGGTAACAAAAATCGTGATACAATTTAAACGAATAAATATTTTCGATTATTTTCATCGTCTCTTGTTGTGTCGTTAACAATTCGTTGAGATTTTAACGATCGACTTTATTCTATCACGTTAATTGAACTACATACAATATGAATCGATAGTTTGATTTCAATATTTATTCAATTTAAAATATGTATGTATGTGTGTGTGTGTGTGTGTGTGAGTTTGTGCGAATGTATGCAACGGAAATGAATAAATAAAAAAAGTAAAAAGAAATCGATTTATATTAAATAATATAATCGAATTTTCCATAAGATAATTGTTGAACTATTTCGATTATTGTTATACACATGTTATTTTTCTTATATGTTAATAAAATAATATCGAATCAAGTTACTGAAAATATAAATTTATTTACATTATAAAACAAACGATAAGAAAAAAAAAGGAGACAATTGACCTTGAACGTTGATAATATTTTATCTTTCTTTATTATTATTATTATATTATTTCATTTCAATTACATATCATCTATTTGCGTTTGTGTGTGTGTGTGGGTGTGTGTACGTGTGTGAATTATTTTCTTCTCTTTCACAGCGTATTAAATAATTCATTTATTTTTTTTATCATATACTTATGCAAATATATTTCAAATTTTTACGTATTTTTGTATTCGTAATTATTCTCGAAAACAAATTTAACACTTACCGATTACTATTTATTTTCTTTTTGCGATTACAAAACGGGAAGACCGTTCGAAAAATATTCGTATCATTTCTTTGCAAATCTCTGTGCGTGTCTTCTAGTTTTGGAAGAATGAAATTAATGTTTCAAAAAAAGAAAAAGAATAATAGAGAACAAAGAGAACAAACTAAAAAGTCAGAAATTTTTCAAACGGTCTTTTAGCATTTATCAGTGATAATCCGTGATTAACGTTCGTTGTACGAATTAAAGTATTTAAAAAAAAAGAAAAAAGAAGAAAAAACCATAAATACTTACATAGATCATGCACCATATACATATGCGCGTGTTTATGTATATTTCTATACAGGGTGTTTAGTAATATGTGTGATCCATTTCAAGTGTGAACAAGGAATTCAAAAACAATGAAAATAATTAATACAAAAAATGTCGTATTTTGGGTACGTTTGTGTTACACGTGTCTTGTTTGTGATATATCATCTGAAATTACGGAACACCCTATACATTTTTTTTTAATTTCTTTCATAGAAGAAGGCTGTATTTTGTACATTATAATACAATAATAACAATCTCATTACGTAAAATTATTCGTGTTATTTTACGAAGAGCCACATAACACGTATGTACGCCTAAATGTAGCTGTGTATTTGTGCGTGTATACGTGTGTGTATATTATTAATTATAAAATAAAATTATTATTTATATTAGTAAAATGTGTTTTTTTAGATAAGATATTTAAGGACAAATATCATTAAATTTAGCTCACTTACTGTTCTTTTTTTTCCTTACGTTCGTGAGAAAAACAATATAACAATAATAATAATAATTAAATATTTAATTTATATACATAATAAACAATAGAAATTATTGTCGTTTTATTCGTATTGTAACAGTAAGCGGCCATCATTTGTTTCTATCGTTATTATTATTATTATTATTTTGTAATATTTAATTTCTTTTTTTTTGTTGTTTTGCTTTTTATTTAATAAAAATGATCGTTGTATATATACGCTCATATCATAATGTGATACGTGTATGTCTGTATTGTGTGTTTGTAATTTTTAATCAGTTTCGTTTAGCCGATAAACACTTTGCTATCCACATTTCTCTTGAATTATATTCGAATAAATTTCTTTTATTATATATCAAGAAATATATAATATATTCGAATTGATTATGTACTTGTGTAAAAAATATTAATTGGAAAATCTTTAAAAGTTAATGCTACACACACAAATTCATCATTAATAAAATATAATAATATCATAAAATAAAGAAAAAAAAAAAAAGTTAGGCGTTTCAACCTAAATGATTGTGTGTCATTATAATAGAGTCGATATAATTTATGTTAATTATTAAGAACAAAATAATCTATCCAATATATACGCGTGTCGTTAAAAATTCGATTGATTCTGTGTTTTGTTTTGTATTTGATTTAATTTTATATAATAAAAAAAACTAAAAAAAAACAAAGATAAAATTAAAAAATATATTTATATATAGATTATTATAACGGATAGCAATAAGTTTGACGGTTTATTCTTCGACGCTAGACTTGTGTGACCTGTGTCACCGTATGATTGGTAGTTCCTGTGTTACCATTGTTATCCATTTGAAGCTGTTGTATAGGCATCCATCTACCAAGATTTTTCCACTTTGTACAGAAAAGTTGCTTGAAGGTCGTACGAAATTGACGGCTCATCGTGCAATAAAGGATGAAATTTATCGCCGAGTTTATTAGAGTTAGGATGTCTATTACGTCACCTGAGAACAGATAGAGATAAAAAAGAAAAAAGAAAATAAATGAGAGTATTCAATTAAATCATTTAGATTAGTATTATAGATTTAAATGTATTCCATTAAGAGATATTACGAAATTATCAATAATTAATACAATTTTTCGTAATTCCCAATGGCAAATATCATTTAGATTAAAACGATATATTACATTCTTTATTTAATTATAATTCAATATTGTAAGGTATTTCTGTGTTTAAATACAATTTCATTTCTGCAAATGTCAATAAGAAAAATGTAATAACATTCTTTACGATCCAATAATTATAATTAATTGCAGTAAAATATAATATACTAATAGAAATATATTACACATTATACAAATAATAAATAAAAATATTTTAAGTATTAATACAGAGTGTAATAAATATACTAATATATAAGTAATATAATTATTATTAATATTTAAAATAACAAAATACGTAAAAATTTAAAACATACATGTGTAAAATGATTACAAGTTAAAAAACAAAAATAATAATTTTTAATACAAAATAATATATTATGAAAAAAAAAATTATTCATAGACAATTAATTGAATTGCGACACTTAAACAATAACTAATAAAATGAAGCAACTTAAATGGAGCATACGTCTCGTTTATCTAATCGGTCTCTCAAATTCTATCAAAGCGGTTCAAGCAAACAACCGCAGGTATACATACACATAATATATATAATATATATATATACATATATATTATGTATTATATATACATATATATACAAATCGATTACTTTTATGCATAAAGTTATATCCTACATTACAACATAGAAGTTTGCTAAAGCTAAAGCCAAAGCCATTAGCAAACGATAAACTTTATTCAGTGTTTAAATGTGCTGATTTATTAGATACATCATACGATCCTTTTCTTTGATCCGTTCTATCTATCTTTGCCAAATGAATGAACGATTTAATTAGAATTGCGATTCGTTATGATAAAAGTTTAATTACAAAAACAAAAAAAAAAACAAGTGTCTTAATCGCGTGCAAATATTTCTTTTTTTTTTTGTTGATTCCATACTTTTGCTAAGATTTATTAAACGCATATCATCTTATTTAAATTACTTTTCTTTTATATATATATGTGTACAGTTAAATGAAACGATTTAATTGTAATTGCAATTTACTATGAGAAATGTTAATAAAAAATCAGGTGCCAACAAAATGAAAATTATTTTAAACATTTTTTTATTACACGCGTATGATCTTTTTCTTTAAATTGTTATTCTTTTTTTTTTATTTCCGCGTAGAAGTATAAATGAAGTATTTAAATTAAGTATTGTGCGATTTTAATTTGATGATATAAAAGATAAAAGAGTAAATATATATTATAAGGTGTTACAATTGCGTTATTAAATATGTTTGTATTTTAATCGGACGTTTATACGATTAATCACGTAATATTCTAACTTGGAAATCGCGTAATCCCGTTAAAATTTCATTATAAACGTATCACGTTGATATAAGTATCCCATGTGTGAATTGTGCATATAGAATGAGATTCGTAAGCGTGGGTTAACTTGGAACTTGTACGCGAAAAGTTTTTAATATTAGTGAGAAGAATAGATCAACTTTAGTTTCAACACTGGCCTTCTGGATGCAGCTGCCTTTCTAAAGTATCTATTATTAAAGTGTATTTGTGTATCTATGTGTATGTATAGTTTCGAGGGTGCATTAGCAAGCACTCGTATGCTCATATATATGTGTGTGCTTGTTATATGGGTTTATAACAAATCATTTTTAGAAAATTGTTGAAATTCTTTAGAAATGTGCTTGAAATATTTCAACTTTGGTTAAAATTTTATTATTCGACGTTTGAAAATAATAGAATAATAGAATTATAAGTATGAACACATTATTCTCTTTGTTTTCAACATAATTAATAGAAATAGAAAATAAATATCACGAAGATTGACATTCGTTTTTTAAAATGATCAAATTTTAAAGATGGAACAATTTTTTTTCTCTTTGTTTTTTTTTTTTAAATAGAAATTATTAATTGATTTTTGAGAGTAGTTTAGGATAATTAATTGTATTTTACTCTTCGTTTCATTTCTATAACGATTTTTATTTAACTTTTTTATGTTTTATAGAACATTTTTATGTTTAATTATTTTTGATTATTTTCTTTTTCTTTCTATTCGTTACTTTTAATTATCTTCAACATCTTCGTCTTCTTCTTTTTCTTCTTTCCTCTTTAAATTTTAATTCTCCGTCACTTTCCCTCGTGTTTTTCATAATTTTTTATTATCCTATTATCTTCTATACATTTCCCCCCCCCCCTATAAATTTTAAATTTCTTATCACTTTTTGTCTCTGTGAGAAAATTTTTGCTTATTTCAAAATTACAAATTCTCCGTCAACACACACATCCACGCACAAATACTTTTTCCCTACCCTTTTTATAATTCAATTTTTCTTATCATAACTTTTATTTCTAATTAAAACAAAATATACTTTCTTCCTATCTTCCTTTCTTTTATATTTTCTTTTTCCTCTAAATTTTAATTGACTATCATTTCTTCTCTCTCCCTCTCTCTCTCTATTCTTCTCCCTTTCTGTTTTTTTTTTCTTTAATTTAAAAATTGTATGCTACACGCGTACACAACCTTACGAAAGTTCGAATACACCTTTTGCATTCGCATTACACACTAATACGTATCCAAGTTACAAGTATTTGTAACATATGTTTATTCTGTACGTGTTTTATGATTTTTTAACTGTAATTAAAATTTATGAGATTCCTCGAATTATAAATAACAATCTTTACTTCTGAGTAACCAGTACTGTTAATAACAAATACCAGATTTTTTATTCTTAAAATAATTATATCTTTCACATATAGCGAAATGACGATGTTTTCGACAAGTTTGTTTATATTTTCGACAAAATTACGCGTAGAAATAATATTTCAATAAAATAAACAGTTTTAGTCGACGTTTATCCAACTTATAGGTCGGACGTGTGTTAAACGTGTGCGAAACGTTAAAATTGAAATATCTTTTAACTATTAGTAACAAACATTATTGGAATACACTTAATTTTCTTTTTTTCTCTTTAATCCTTTTTATTGTTACTTATTTTTGTATATTTTTTATTTAAATCTTTATTAATTTTGTAAGTATATTTATATATAGTCTTTTTTATTTATTNACAAAAATTAATTGATCACAGTGTTCTTTTAACTGATTCTGCGTAAGAGAAGAATTATTTTTAAAAATGATTTTAATTTTTTTATTTCTATTTATATATTATATTTATATTATCTTGATATCTTTCAATATTTATTCTGGTTATGTAACAATGATTTATTTCCGTAAATATTTGAAGAAACAAATAAACTGTAAGACTTGCAATACTTCAAACAGTATCGAGCATATTTTACTTTACTGCACCAATTGTATTCACAATAGAAATCAATCAAAAATAATAATAACATTCGAAACGTAATACTTTTTTTTTTAAGTTATTAGTTTATTGAATTTTTTCTACAACGAATAATAACCATGTATTGTTTAATCATCGGATAATTATATTATTGACAAAATCTATAATATGATGAAAGTGATCACTAATGATTCCATTGTTTTAATTCTTTAAGTGATGAATACTTTTAAACTGAGGTGTTTTGTATATTAGAAATAGTTTATTATTAATGCTACTATTTTTGTTAATTAATATTATTAACCAGATTTTAATAAAATATAAATTATATTTAATAATGAACTAGTTTTTTTCTTTCTTATATATAATTTAATTTTCACGTGAGAAGATTCAAAAAAATAATCAATATACAAACCAACATTACATTATTTTACATTAATATTAACAATTTTATTAGCAAACCCCATATATATATATATGCGTTCATAACAATCAAAGGGTTAAAATGCGACTACTTAAAAATAAACTTTTACCAACAACAACAAAAATATTAATTATAAGAATAACTTTCTTACATTTTTCTTATATCAAGTGACAATTATTATAATCAATCGATCATTAATTAATTATTTCAGAAATCATTTGGATCAATGGAAAACAACGAGTAGATTTTATACAATAAGAGAAGAACAAGCTGATTCTACGTACGAAATAGTTTACGAACTTTATTCTTCACCAGAAGGGTAATACGAGAAAGCAAAATCAAAGTTCGTGAAATTCCACTTTAGAAATTTGAGGATTAACGTGCAGAACAAAAGCTCCTATGGTAAGTTCTATTTCTCTCTCTCTCTCTCTCTCTCTCTCTCTCTTTCTCTTTCTCTCTTATTCACTCATTCATCGGGATCCTCTTAATCGATTAGAGGTGAAAATCGTATTAGGATTAGACATTGAAATGGGGTTGCGGGTACATACCTACTGATGACAATGCGATTAGATCGATGTGATTGTGTAAATGCATACGTATATGAGGATGTGCATACTTGTATTCGTTTACATGTATTATGTATAGGAATTTATTCGATACCTTCCTTTATATTAAATTCATTGCATTCAAATTGATCATCTTTTCTTTTTTCTTTTTTTTTTTTTCGTCAAGGAAGTCAACGGTTGTATTTAAAAAAAAAAAAGAAGTGATTCAAACCGTAGTTATCGAAAATAATGACGATTATTATTTCGAATTATTTTTAACCGGATTTTCATTAAATAATAAATAAATCTATTAAATTTACGAATTATTTTATATAGTTTAATATTAAATTTGTTTATAAAAAAAAAAATGAGTAACATCGAGAGAATTAATTGTTATATTTAAAATACGCGTTCCGATTGGAAGAAAAAGTTTCTTCGTATTTTTCGATGCAAAAGTAAAAATAAAGATGTTATTTTTTAAAATAAATCATATATATAGGTGCAAAATATTATATTATGATCTTCTTTTTTTTTTTTTTAAATTATTTTACAATATTTTAATTTATAAATGCACGCGAGTATCGTCAGATTCGATTAGTATTATCAAAATT